CCAAGAAACGATTTTCTCAGATATATGCTCACCTATGCAACCCCATATGATGCTGATCATGCCGTCGAATCTGTTTCCATTTCCGAAACTCCAGCACCAGATGTGGAGGAGGATGAAGAGGATGAGAAGAAAGGAAGGAAGAAGAAGGAAAAGAAAAGGACTAAAAAAATAAAAAAGAAGGCACTGCCGATACACAACTTTAGAATGTGATCTTCATATTAACAGAGGTTCATAGGGAAATGAAATGATATTTTTTGCAGCAATGTGTCTAATAATAATATATAATAAATACTTCAAAAATCTCATCCTACCTTTTTTTGCTTGAATTGTTAATTGTTTGCTGAACCATTACTGTACTCTGAGAGGTTCTTGAGTTTTGGTGCCAACTTGCTACATCTATCTAGTGACTGAAATGCCCTACGTCTATCAGTAGTCCGGACTGAGTGCAAGCTTCACCCAAATAGAAAGTTCATCTATATTCTGAGCAGCAGTGGATATACGGTATTGAGGTTTCCGCTAATCATAAACGCACGTTTTAGCAGCTCACATAAGAGTCGACACGGACTCACCATCACGTATACGAAAAGTACTATGCCGACAATTGGACATTGTCGGAAAAGCTGTTAGTTAGCAAAAAGCTGTGCAACTATCTGCATAGCGGAGCATACATAGTCCATCATTCCTAGGACTTTTAAAGGGAAAAAGGAGGTTTCAAATCGTAAACTTCTACACAAGTGAATACTCTTTAACAAATGCTTCGTCAAAACGCTCATCGTTTTTTTTGGAGCAATGATGAACCCCGGTGGTTGTGTGCAAGTAAATTTGCACCAAGGCACTCGTATTCTATAACGAATATGATACAACTATATCACCTAAAAAAGCAAAGGGTTGTAGGAGATTATTAGGGCAATGACACATCAAACAATGTCTACATATTGTTGTTTCATTGAAATAAGAGCGATGATGATTTTGAACTGCGCCTTTACGTCTTCGGCGAAGCATTCTTGGCATATTAGTTCAGAGCTGCTCGTACCTTTGACTATTATTGGACTATTACTAGAGTGCTCATATTTCATAAAAACAGAAGTGTATTGGCTGTAGTTTAAGCAGAAACCAAATCTGCAGCCTTATAATTAGAAGCAGCGTGTCGGCGTTATCACCTCCACTGGAGACATACAATAATCTTCCCTCAACGCAACATCATGAAAGATTTTAGCTTGGAGGGTAGTGTCGCACAGCTCTCTTCGTTTTGCCAGATCGTGTAACGCGAGACGCTGCTTTGGCATATACGGGCCATCAGATACATTCGGTAATTTTTACAGCATATTTTGACGCTGTTGCTCATCTTCGATGAACACATGCTCGCTTCAACTGTTGAGTTTCGGCAAAACTGATAAATTTTCTTCCAAACGCGTAAAATTCAGCTGCAATAAGACATGACGTGAAGCGGCTCGTTGCAAGTCCATGACAGCTGTATATTAACAAGCGTAGCTCGGATCTACCACTTCAGAAGATTTTTGCAATAAGTTTACCAAAGCAGATTTAGGTAATTTTCTTCTATCAATGGCGCCGCAACTCTGATAAGCGATCGTAAGCTCTTAGAGTCAATGTTTCCTTAAGGACACATTAACCTACGTTACGTACGTAAAGCAGGTCCAATCGCAAGTGCAGCTACATGGACGGTAGGGTAAGGGATGAAGAATTTGTCTTCTATCACCGAAAAACGGAAGGAATTGCTTGATTAAGTCTTTATCAAGCACAAGCAAGCACGTCAACTGGGTGTGAGTTTGCTGAGGTTAGATTTTTAATAGCCTTTTCATGATGTATTTGATAAGCGGGAGGGAGAATCTAGAAAACACAAATAACATGCATTCATGGATGAACTTGATCTGTCAAATACACTTCTAAATATTATCTGCCATTGAAAACTGACCCTTTTATTTCAGTGTAAAAGAATCCTTTGAAGAAAAAGATTTTCAAAAACTTTCACTCAATTTCCGGGCGGTTGTTACCAGATTACAGTCAAGAAAACGTCATCAATGTACCCCAAGATATCAGATTATAAGGGTGCAAAAATGGCTGATATAATGTGTTAATAAATGCTATTCTTTGTAGTAAACATTGGAAAAAAATATAGTACATAAATTTGTTCATTATATAAATATTCGAACGAATGAATATCATTCGAATCGTCATCTAGAATATATTCGAATTCGCATATTCGATAAAGATCCTCCTGTATATTCGACTATTCTATTTATCGAATAATTGGGCATGACCGATTATTTTTCGACTATATTACTATTCGAATGATAATCGAGTTCGAATATCTCAGTCAGACATGACCACTCAACCTATTCGATGATTCCACTAAAATTCGACCGAACAAATATTCGATGAATTCGCAGGCATTCCAACGGTCGAATTTTATTCGAAATC